CACTAATGCCATATCCAGTCTCTTGATTTGTGTTGCTTTATACATCATAAATTCCAGTAGTAGTTGTTTAAGCTATTCTTGGTCTTTTGCATTACCATATGATTATTAATATCTTGTCAATGTTTACAAAAAAAGCTTCCTTGGGATTCTGATAGGAATCGACTAATTTAGGGGAGACAGACACCTTAACAGCCGGTCTTCTGACTAGTGAAAACAGTTTGTCTATCTAGGTTAATTTCAAGAATTTAAAAAATATATTTTATTTTTTGGTACTGGCAATTGAAACTAGGGGCGCTTAACCACTGAACCACATCCCCAGTCCTTTTAAATTTTGAGATACGGTCTCACTAAATTGTTTACGCTGGTTTTGAACTTGGAATTCTCCTGCCTTAGCCTCCTGAGTTGCTGTGATCACATGTACATGCCACCATGCCCAGCATAAAAAAATCAGCTTTTTAAAAATTTTTCTTTTTTGGTGTCCAGGACTTTTCCACTTTTGTTGAATTTATGCCTAAGTATATTGTATTTTTAAATGTGACCACACTGATTTTGGCCCTTTCCTACGTTGGCTTCAGATTCCAAGTTGAAAAGGAGCCTTCTTTCTCAATAAAACAATTATAAAATAGCAAGCAAAATCACATAGGATATAGCATAAGGTGTTAAAATTTTGTTCTACTGGGGCACTCTACCACTGAGCAAATCCACAGCCCTTTTTTCTTTTGAGACAGGGTCTCACTAAATTGCTGAGACTGGCCTTGAACTTTCCATTTTCTTGCCTCAGCCTCCCAATTAGTTGGGATTATAAATAGAGTAGCTGGGATTACAGGTGAGTGTCATTTACAAACAGCACTTATTTTYTGTTTTCTTCATTTTGTAATTTACTTAACCTCCTTTGGGAATGAGAGCCAAGTTTTGCAACACCATTTTCTTTTTTTTTGTTGGTACCAGAGATTAAACTCTGGGTCACTTGACCATTGAGCCACATCCCCAGCCCTGTTTTGTATTTTATTTAGAGGCAGGGTCTCACTGAATTGCTAAGCACTTCTCCAATGCTGAGGCTGGCTTTGAACTCGTGGTTTTCTTGCCTCAGCCTCCCAAACCACTGGGATTACAGATGTGCACCACTGTGCCTGGCTTGCACTGCCATTTTCTATTGGTGCAGATCGAGAAAAAAATACCTTAAAAGAATAGCCATGAAAAGCTAGTAGAATTATTTGAAAATAACTATCCACTAAGATAAACACCAAAATGGAGAAAGTACCAAATTCTCAAAAATAAAATAGTAAAAATAAGGGAAAATTTTTTTCCTTAATCAAAGTATATGCTTAAATATATTGCACATCTAATATTCAAACATTAAAAAACCCCATTGGTGGACACAGTGGTGCCCACCTATACTCCAAGCAACATGGGAGGCTATGACAGAATCAAGTTCAAGTAAGACTCTATCTCAAAATAAAAAATAATAAGGGTTAAGGATCCCTGGGTTCAATTTCTAATAGTGCAAAACCAAACCAAACCTAACAACAAAAGCCCTCCTCAATTGCAGACAAAGCCAAGATATTATTTCTTTGGTATCAGGGATTGAACGCAGAAGCGCTTAACCACTGAGCCACATCCCCAGCCCTTTATTATTATTTTGTAGTTATAGATGAACAGAATGCCTTTATTATTTTTTTAAATGTGGTGCTAAGGATTGTACCCAGTGCCTCACACATGCTAGGCAAGTGCTCTGCCATTGAGCAGGGAACTCACTGACCAGCCTCACCCCCAGCCCTTTTTCATATATTATTTAGAGACAGGGTTTTGCCAAGTTGCTGAGGCTGGCTTTGAGACACTGGGATTACAGGCACACACCAATGTGCTTAGCTCAAGAATGGTATTTTGGGCTGGGGATGTGGCTCAAGTGGTAACACGCTCGTCTGGCATGCGTGGGACGCTGGATTCGATCCTCAGCACCACATAAAAATAAAATAAAGATGTTGTGTCCGCTGAAAACTGAAAAATAAATATTAAAAAAATCTCTCTTAAAAAAAAAAAAAGAATGGTATCTCGAGGCGTCACAATGAAGATACTGGCCTTGGAGCTGGAGTTGCAGCTCAGCGGTAGAGAGTTTGCCTTGCATGTGTGACGCACTGGGTTCGATTCTCAGCACTACATATAAATAAGTGAATAAATCAACTAAAAAAAAAATTCCTGGCCTCCACATTTCCATTAAAGACATCTGGATTCCCCTTCTAAAGTCTATTTAAAAGTAATACTTAATAAAATGTATTTTGTGTTAATACCTGATCTAGGTATTTGACATAAAAAAAAAATGAATGAAAAAAGGTCCCTGTCATCACAGTGAGGCTGGCAGAAAATGCGGCTCAAAATATGGAACTCACTGACCATCACAAAGAGTACCTGAATCTCATTCCAAGATGGATTAAGTCATTTTGACAAATCTGATTGTCTTCAGAAAGTCTCATGCTAATGACCATCTACATGAAGCGGGATATAAGAGCATTTTGGAATGGTTTGATCCTACCAGACGTGGCTATGGGAAGACTCCTGATTTCTACAGAAGACAAATCTTCATAAGCATCTTTATACATATATAAATGTATATATATTTTAAAAAGTAGGTATCAATATAGTGCACTGTCAAACTTACATACATAGGACATGTGTCTTAAACCATCAGTTACTTGATCATTAACTAAGGGAAACCCATGCAGAGTGACTTAAAATTTTGGAGAGTAAGCCTGATGGAATGTTAAGTACTTCATCTGTGTGTATTTATTTATTTATATTAGGTCTTATTACTGAGTGATTCCCTACCCCTCTGAGTTCAGTAATAAGAACAGAACCTCACAAATTTCAGCAGAAAGAGCCAATTCAAGAAAACAGGTGCTTATAATCTTTAGAAGGGCTGTTAAAAACGAAGTCAGCAGGTGACCACAGAATTTGGCTTTAGCATCCTACCAACTCAGAGGTCGGAAGCTGCTGTTTCCACTGATGCTACTGCTATTAGCATCACAGTCACCACACATTCATGATGCTGGTAAGTCCAGTGGGATGAGCAGTCTCACTGCCTGCAGCAGTCCCATCTGCTGGTTGCTTCCACTGCCTGCCCCACCAACCATGATGCCTGCACCTTCCCGGTCACATTCCACATCCCTTGCAAATGTAATGCATCCTGTTGGCATACAGAGCTCTGGCTATTAGGAATCCTGAGAAATGTAGCTTTTTCCTCTCCAACCTCTCAATAGAAGGAGGATAAAATGGAGGTCAAGATTGCTAACCCAAATACCTAGTTCGCACAGATATGAACCAATTTTCAGTGTTCCCCTTGCTTCATCTAAAACAACTCTTTGGAAATATTACTCTATCTTGATCTAAATAGATAAATAGTATACTTTGTAAACACATCAAAGTATATTTGAACTGAATATGTGCTAGGAAAAAGGGCACATCAAATATGCTTACGATGTAGAGTTACTTTTCACATAGAACACTATTGCTCCTATCTCCTGACTCTATATAAGCAGTCTTGCAGTGTGTATGTCACAAAAACTCTATATGCTTACTGACAGGACTTTGAGCCCCCTTTCCTGATTTGACAGCTTTCAATCCTAACCCTCAGCCCACCTTTAGTGCAATCTTTTAGTGCCCTCTCACCCATTACACTACCCTTTTTAATTCATCTTTTATAAGGGATGTGTTTGCCCATAGTAAGACTCTACCATAGTACCTTTTTTTTTTTGGGGGGGGGTGCTGGGGATTGAACCCAGGGCCTTGAGTATATGAGGCAAGCACTCTACCAACTGAGCTACATCCCCAGCCCTACCATAGTACCTTAAACACAAACACAAAACCAATTATTCTCATAAGATGTTCAGAACTAAGCAGTTTCTAATCGCTAAACCAAAGAATTTTAGGGACAAGGTTTCTGCTCTTATTGGACTTCTCCCTGATCTGAAGACAGATGCTGAGGCTCTTGCTATAGTGCTGCATCCTAGCAAGAAAAACAAAGGCAGGAGCAAAAAAGTTTCCTTTACAAAGTTCCCTCAGAAACTTATACTAACAACTTTCAAAACCATTGCCCCAGTTCCTACTGTCCAGGGAGGCTGGGAAATGTATGGTCTTTTAACTTGGCACAGTGCCACTCCCATCTTAAAGGGAATCTACACCTGAAGAAAAGGATAGCTATGATGTAGACAAATAGTCTTAAAAAAACCACAAACAAAAAAACTCCTAAGCTAAAGAGTCTCTCTCAGGCCAAATTAGGCAAATATTTGTGTCAGACAAACAGTTTAACCTATTTCATAACTAATACATCTTACATGCAATGACAACAATTATTTTTAATTATTATTATACTTTATATGTTTTTTGTGGTACCAGGGATTGAATTCATGGGCATTCAACCATTAAGCCACATTCCCAGTCCTATTTTGTATTTAGAGACAGGGTCTCACAGAGTTGCTTAGCACCTTGTGCCGCTGCCGAGGCTGGCTTTCAACTTGTGATCCTCTGATGTCAGCCTCCTGAACTGCTGGGATTACAGGCTTGCACCACCATGCCAGGCTATTATTCTTTTTTGAGACAGGATCTTGCTAAGTTTCTGATCTGGCCTGAAACTTGTGATCCTCCTGCCTCAGCCTCCTGAGTCGCTGGAATTATAGGCACATACACTCATGGGGCCCAGCTGAAATGATAGCCAATTTTCAAACAGCAGGTAACTACACTGAATATTGAACAAGACTTTTATGTCAGTTTTTGAGTTATTATTGTTTATTTTGAAAATATTTCCCAACAGCAGTAGAGAATACAATGTAGGGTTAGCCAAATCCCCTGCTATTGTTGATGGCTACTTGAAGTGCTTCTTCCACTCTCTCCATAGTAGAATACTTAGGGAGGTAGAGAACACTAAAACATGTCTGCGCTCTCATGGGATCTTTTTCATTCAAATTTTCAGGGCAGCAAAATCTTATTTTCATATTCTTTAAATCTTTCATTTGTAGTCTGTCAGTGCCTGTAAGAAACACTGAAAAGAAAAATACAACAGGATGACCTATTACATATGAAGACCAAAATCTCTTTATAAAGACAGAAAATCTATTTTTTAAAAATAACTTTACTAAGGGCCCATGAGCAGAGTCCTATATTAAATAGTACATTGGGGACCATATTAGGACAAGATCTGACACAGTCACTGCCATCAAACAATTCCCAAGACTGACTGGGAATACAGTAGTCATTTCCTACCCCCAAGTTCCAAGATCCCAGTGGATGCCTCAAACTATGGACACTATATGTACCCTACGCTTACTGTTTTTTCCTATTTATACATAATTATGATAAACTAAACTTTTCACTTAAGGAAGATGTTTATAACTTCTCTTCAATATATATGAACTGGCAGCAAAAATTATTCATGCACTTTGGGGCCACCATTAAGTAAAATAAGGGTTACTTAAACATAAGCACTGTGATACATTGATGGTCAATCTGAAAACGAGATGGCTAGTAAGTGACCAGTGACCAGGGAGTGTATGTAGTGAGCATATGCTGGACAAAAGGATGATTCGTGTCCAGATAGGGCAGACTGGGATGACACAAAATTTTGTCATGCTTCTCAGAATGGCATAACTTAAAGATTGTTTACTTCTGGAATTTTCCATTTAATATTCTCACACAGTGCTTATCCATAAGAAACTGAACCCACAGATAAAGAGAGGGATACTATATAGATTTGTGTATAGAACAAGACCAAAAAATGAGTAAACAGAACAGCCAAAGAGAAATTAAATGCCTTCTGTGTAAATGCTGTGTTTGAGAGTAGGGAGAGGATGCCAGGCTGGGATGAGCAGAGAAGAGTTTAGAGTAATAAACTAGAGTTTATTCACAGTATGAGAATCTGTCTCAGAGCTATTATAAAGATTAAATTAGTCAGGATAACAGTGCACATGGCAAGTTCTTCATGACTGTTAGGAGTTCAAGCCTTTAGATTTACCCTCCAATTTTTTTTTTTTTTAGAGTTTAGAGTTTAGAAGGGAAAATAAAGAGGTAGGTGAGGCTCAAGGCACAGGGAGGAACGTCAGAGAGAGCCCAGAGGCAGGAGTGCAAGGCAAGCTCAGGAAAAGATTCCTCTGGAAGTTAAGACTACAGAGGCAGGCTGCTGGCTTCAGGGTAACTGAGTGCCTTCCAACATACATGTCATCCACAAAAACAAGAACAGGAAGATTACTGCTTCTTCAAAGTAAGGAAGCAGTAAGCAACTGAGAAAGTTATTAAGCCAACCTCAGGAAATCATCATGTAGGTATAAAACTGAGATCAAAAGCTGGGAGGTGAGTTAGAATAGACTTGGAAATACAAGTAAAACATCTTGTATACAGTAACAACAACATAGCAACAGTAAAAATTACCCTGACAAAATATTTTGGTAAATTCCACAAAGGCTGGATAATTCAATGGAGACAGGACTGCAAAAAGAATACTCAAAATTTAGCTTGGACAAAGAAAGAAAAAATTTAAAAGCAGGGATGAAATAATAGGGAAAAAGATCACCTATATTAACACTTGAATTGTTCCCCCCTTGGCAGGTTGGGGATGGTAGACAAACACTCTTAACCACTTAGCTACCTCCTCACCTTTAATACTTGATTTTTTTAAAAAAATTATTTGTTTTTTTCTTGATGTATATGACAGTAGAGTGTATTTTGACATATTATACGTACAGAGGATAAGTATAACTTGTTCTAATTAGGATCCCATTATCGTGGTTGTATGTGATATGGAGTTACACTGGCAATGTATTCAAATATAAAAATAGGAAAGATATGTCTGATTCATTCTACTGTCTTTAGCACTTGATTTTTTGATGCACAGCAGACATTTGGTTGGACTAGAAGTAGCTATGACACTAACCATGATGGTACCCATCACAACTGAGATTTTTAAAAAAATTTTTTGTTGGAGATGGACATAATACCTTTATCTTATTCATTTATTTTTATGTGGTGCTGATGACTGAACTCAGTCCAATACCTCACATATGCTAGGCAAGCGCTCTAAAACCCCAGCTCCACAATTGAGATTTTTATTCCTTTAAAAAGATATCAAATTATAGATCTATTCATTGATATAATACTTACCAAGGAACTTTTTCTTTTCCTCCAGAGTCAATTTATGTAAAGCCTCCCAAAACATCACTATAGTGGGATGTGAATTATTGTATCCTTGCTCATAACTTGCATTCTAGAGCAAATAAAAGAGAGAAAAAAAATTAAGGAAACAGAAAAGAAAACAGAAGTTAATCGATTTGGCATCCACGATGTACCTTTTCAAATGTTTCCCAGTCATAATCTGTGTTTCCAACAATCACATCCTTTAATTCTTCAGGATGAAAAATTTCTATAATCTCTTTGTCACATACTTTATAAAATCCTCTCTGGAATTCTTTGTACACTGTCTTCACAGAGATGTTGAAGATGTAATCAACACACTTAGAAACATAGTCTCTCCTTTTAATAAAACAAAAACAACAACAAAAAATTACTTCCTTTGATTGCAATAACTGGAAAAAAAAATTGGAGGATAAATCTAAAGCTTGAATGCCTAACAGTCATGAAGTGCTTGCCATGTGCACTGTTATCTTGACTAATTTTATCTTTATAATAAATCTGAGACAGATTCCCATATTGTGAATGCTTTAGTGAGGAAGAAACAGACATGGTGAAGTTAAATGATAGTTTAAGGTCACAGAGTTCAGAGAATCAATACTTAGATTAGAACAAAATTTGACCTAATATAAAGTCTGAACTGCTCAGTGATTAGTCTCTGGGAACTGACTGGGCTTGGGAGGTGGGCTAAATATCATGTTTTATTATTATGCACCATTACAAATTACCTAAATTTGTATCGGTGAGCAACTGGTGGTTAACACAAACGAAGAAGTAGTTTCCCCTTCTAACTAGGATGAAGTAGCTTACAGCAGACAAATGCTGCCCCTGGGAAGAACCAGCAAAGTCATCAGCTAAAATACAAAAACACCAGGCTCAAAGCTTCTGAATCAGTGTCAAAACTCCAGAGGCCACTATTGGGAAGGAAGACTCACTGAGGAGGGCCTAGCATTTTCCTTTTGCCCTTTAGGATATTTGCCAATTTTTGATGAAGGCAAAGAAGCCAGAAAGTAAAGAGTCAGATAAATTAGTACAAGATTTGGTAATTTAATGGGGATGCACAGAAAAATTAAGTTTGGGGTTATCAAAATAAGAACGTAAGAGGCCAAGGGCTCTAGGAGGAGGGCCGTGCTCTGGGAAGGCATCTCCCAAATTCTTTAGAGGCAAAGATGAATAAGCTTTCGGCACATAAAAAACAGAGCCGAACTTAACAGTCTCCTGAGGCTGAAGAAACAAAAACTGAAGTTCAGGGTCCATCAAAGGGGTCCTACAAAATTCAGCACTCATTCATGATTAAAAAAAAAACTRAAAAAACTATGGATAGAGGACTGGGGTTGTGGCTCAGTGGTACAGCACTTGTCTCACATGTGTGAGGCACTGGGTTTGATCCTCAGCACCACATAAATAAATAAAATAAAGTATTGTGCCCATCTACAACTTAATAACAAACAACAAAATTTTTCAAACTCAACCTCATAGTAAAATCTGGGACAAGACAAGAATGTCCACTCTTACTACTCCTACTTAATAGAGTACTAGGAATTGTAGCCAGAGCAATTAGGCAAGAAAACGAAATAAACGACATAAAGATAAGAAAGGAAGAAGTCAAATTATCATTGTTTGCAGATGATATTATCCTATACCTAAAAGGCCCAAAAAATTCCACCAAAAGACTACTAGAGTTAATAAACAAATTGGGCAAATTAGCAGGTTACAAAACCAACATACAAAAACCGATAGCTTTCCTATATATCAACAATGAATCTGCTCAGAAAGAAATCAAGAAAATAATTCCATTCACAATAGCCTCAAAGAAGAAAACAAAAACAAAACAACAACCACAATAACTCAAAGCAACCAATCAACAAATGAAAACAAAATAGCAATAAACCTAACCAAGGAGGCAAAGACTTCTACAATGAAAACTATAAAACACTGAAAAAAGAAACTGAAGAAGACACAAGATGGAAAGACCTCCCATGTTCATGGATAGGCAGAATATATATTGTTAAAATGGCCTAACTACTAAAAGCAATACGCAGAGTCAATGCAATCCCCACAAAAATAACAATGGCATTCTTCACAGAGCCAGGAAAAAAAAATTCATTTGGAAGAATAAAATACCCAGAATAGTCAAGGCAATTTAAGCCAAAAAGCAATACTGGAGGCATCGCAATACCCAACTTCAAATTACACTATAGAGGTATAATAACAAAACCTGCATGGTACAGGCATAAAAAGAGACACATTGACTGATGGAACAGAAGACACAGRAAACAAACCTACACATCTATAATCATTTGATCCTTGACAAGGTGCCAAAAATATACAGTGGAGAAAAGACAGCTTTTTAAAAAAAATGGTGCTGGGAAAACTAGTTATCCATATGTACAAGAATGAAACTAGACTCCTATCTCCCACCCTACACAAAAATCAACTCGAAATGGATCAAAGACCTAGGAATTAGACCACTCCTAGAGGAAAATGTAGGATAAACACTTCAGCATATAGGTATAGAAAATGATTTCTAAGACTCTTAAAGTTCAGGAAATAATGCCAAGAGTTAATAAATGGCATGGTATCGAATTAAAAAGCTTCTGCACACCAAAGGAAACGATTAGTGACATAAAAAGGGAACCCACAAAATGGGAGAAAAATCTTTACTAGTTACTCTTCTGACAGAGGATTAATATCTAGAATATATAAAGATCTCAAAAAACTTTACACCAAAAAAATCAAACAACCGATTTAAAGGGGTGAATGAATTAAACTGACACTTCTCAAAAGAAGCAATACATAAAAAAAATAAGAAATACAAATGGCCAACAAATATATGAAAAAATGTTCAACATCATTAACAATTAGGGAAACTCAAATGGAAACTATATTGAGGGGGCTGAGGTTGCAGCTTAGTAGTAGACCATTTGTGGAGCACATGTGAGAAACTGGGTTTGATCCCCAGCACCACTTAAAAATAAATAAATAAAAGAAAGGTATCGTGTCCATCTACAAAAAAAAAAAAAACCCCAAATATATATATCTACAGACATATAGATATAGATATCTAGAAAACAAAACCAAACTACCCTGAGGTTGGCTGCTTCRATGGTGCATGCCTAAAATCCCAGCAGCTGAGGAGACTGAGGCAGGAGGCTCTTAAGTTCAAAGCACCTTGCAAATTAGCAAGGACCTAAACAACCCAGTGAGACTCTGTTTCTAAATAAAATACAAAAAAAGGGGGCTGGGGTTGTGGGTCAGTGGTAGAATGCTTGCCTAGCATGTGTGAGGCACTGGGTTTGATTCTCAGCACCGCACATAA